GTTGGCCGAATCAAGGAGGGTAACTCTATTTTTTCTCCGAAAATCAAAAGAGTAATTAATAATATTCAGTCATCTGTGATATACGCTTAGGCGATCATGTATCTTTCGATATATGACTGACTCGGCAGATTTTTTTCCGGCAGTAGCTTGTCATTTCTTTCTGCGGTAAACCAGTTGCCATCCAAGGCTATAGAACCCTGTCTGTCCTACTATTTATCCGTAAACTTTGAAGTAGAGGATTACTACCTTTTCCATGGGTATTAGCACGTAAGTGAATGTAATGGATTCAACTCGAATTCGAACTCAGCTCTCCGATTCCTCAATCCAAACCGCTATACACCGTGCCTCCTTTTTCAGATTCCCGCAGTAGGTTTCCATTTCTTTCTGCGGTAGACCATTTGCCATCCAATGCTATAGAACCCGGTCTGTCCTGCTATATATAACTTTGGAGAGAAGAAGAGGATTCATACCTTTCCCAAAGGGTATTAGCACGTAAATGAATGTAATGGATCCGACTCACTCTGAGCCGCTATCCATTACTCCACCAAGCTAACAAAATCTTCAAATGACATTAACTTATAAAACTAATAACATCAAAAACAAAATATGCCGTAATAATATAAAATAAAAGTTTTAAAAAAGTACTAATAAACGCAATAAAAATAATAATACATATTAATGAAAATAAAATAATTTAAATTCAAATAAGAAAAATAAAGTAAAATCTTAGAGCCTTATATGGGAAAATATGTTAATAAGTATGTTAAAATATTTAAATGAATTGGAGTTTAATTTTGAATTTGAATTTCGGCCCAGATCAACATTTAAGATTGGAAATAAGGTTGGAAATAAGAAATTCTAATTTGGAGAAACGCAGACGTAAACTGTAAACTGGACGTAATGTTAGAAAATCAAGGGCGGTAACTCTAATTTTTCTGAGAATCATTAGAGTAATTATTATTAATCTTATTACTATTAATATTACTATATTAACTAAAAGTGGTGATATCAGTAATAATAAAATATGCTGTAATAAATTAAAATAAAATAAGGTAAAATGAAATGAAAGCCATATAGAGGAACATACATATATGCAAATAAATATATAAATAAATGAATAAAACAGGCAAATAAATGAATAAATAAATAAAAAGTGTGGATGCCAATAGATAAGTAAATAAACACATTTCTAATAGTATGACTAAAGGTAAAAGAAAGAGACAAAAAAACAAAGCAAAAATAAATCCATCTGTAAGGTAGAATCAAGCCTGGACAGGATGCTATGGAGGAGAAGATGCTGCCCATGCAGCATATCTTCCTCTCCATGGATCCATTAAAATTTGATACCAGCTCGATCGTAGGAAATGCCAGAACGAGGCTGAAATCGGCAACGATTTTTTAGCTGTATAGGCTACATACAGTTTTGAATTCAGAATTACTTTCTCCTAGACCGGATGCCATCCAAGGCTGCAGATCTTAGTCTGTCCTGCTATTTTACCCATAGCTGGGGAAAGAAGAAGAGGATTGATACCTTTCCTAATGGTATTAGCACGTAAGTGAATGTAATGGATTCGACTGGAATTCGAACTCGGCTCTCTGATTCTTCAATCCGAGCCGGTATCCATTACTCCTTTTTCCCGCAGTAGGTTGCCATTTCTTTCTGCTGTAGACAAGTTGCCATGCAAGGTTATAGAACCCCGTCTGTTCTGCTATTTACCCATAGCTGGGGGGAGAAGAATAGTATTCATACTTTTCCCAATAGTATTCGCAAGTGAATGTAATGGATTCGATTGGAATTCGAACTCGGCTCTCTCGTTCCTCAGAGACGCAATCCATTATTCCAATCGGCTTCCTCAAAATTACATTATAACGATAAAAATTGCTTAAAATATAAAAGAAGAAAAACAGATATGAAGTTTTCATTGTGGCAATTTTTTTTACAAGACTTTCTAGCATATTTGAGTTTGATGGCAGGTTTCTTTTCAAACTCCAGCAGTAATCAGCCATCACTTGGGAATCCCAGCGGTCATGGTATCGTTCCTCCATAATTTTGATATCTTGGGAGAATCTCTCCCCTTGTTCGTAACTTGTCTAACACTTTCGCCCCGGCCTCTCAACCTCCGGCGTCTTACTCTCGGGGTTGAGGTGTCTACTCGGTCCTAACCGAACTTAAGAGAGTGGTCATAGGTCCCCTGAGCATCTGTAGATTATTCGGCCGGTCCGCTGGTTTAATCCTGCTTCCTACCCACGTTGGGATTTGTTTGATCCAGAAAGTTGAAGTGATGTCCGTCCATTCACGGTCGACTGAAGATGTAGACACGGCTGGGGAGTCTGCGCTAAGAAATTTAGAATGCAGCAAAAAAAAAAAATAATATCTGCAGAAAGCCGGACAAACATCGATTCAATGGTTGAATGGGTAATATCTTTTATATAGCAGGAAAGAATAGTAGAGAAGAGAAACGGGTTACAGAAAAGAAAAGTAAAAAAAAAAAACTCATACACTAGATTCTAGACACAGAGAGAGAGTGTGTGTGTGTGTATGTGATTATCTTGTTGTTAAATTGTCTCAGAACGATATATGACTCTTGCGATGGAGGGATAAAGATTTCTGTGCGGGGCTTAAAGTTATAGTGGCGTTTCATCCTTCCAACGCTCCAATTTTCTCCCGTCTGTCTTTTCCAGCATAACTACGCGTTTATATAGATAAACCTGGCTGGTTATAACTGACCCTCGGCCCGACTACTTCGCACGCGATTATCACGGGGTTCTGGATGCTTCAAACAAAATCATGTGAATTCCAAAGTTCCTTCTAGCTTACTCAGCTCTATTTCAATTTTTAATCGATAAAAATTATTTCGACCATTTCCATTGTCTTCTGATGACCCAGATTCAATGGGTACAACTTCTGCCCTAGATCAGATTTCCCCATCAGTAACAAAAAATGCTCTGATTTAATTTCGCTATTCAAATCTTGTCCAATTTCACTAAAAAAGATATACGCGTGTGTGTGTGTGTGTGTGTTTCCCACTCTCTCTCTCTCTCTCTCTCTCTCTCTCTCTCTCTCTCTCTCTCTCCCTGTTACAACTTTAAAAATGCATTTTTACGCTCATATCGCAACCTGACTGTTTGTAGCTCCTTAAATCTTTTTACTATTTCTTCGTCATTATTCTATAATTGCTTAAGATATCTTCTATTAAGTCCACAAATGAGAACCAGGAAATTCTTTGCGTTCATTCATGACATTAGGAAAATTGCTGTCTTTAAATAAAGTACTTATTTGTGGACTGTCAAAAATTCTCACATTGGTTTATATGGGAACTTTTTTTATTAAATAGGTACTTAAAATCTATGAAATTAAACTAGAAACACGGATGAGTAGGCACAATGTAAATTACGTCTAATTAAAACAACTATTAAATCACGATGACAAAATTACTCACTAAATCATATGCCAATTCAAAATTATGTTAATGCCCAAAACATAATTAACTGACTGACTGATTAACTCCGGAAACGAGCTTTTATATATTTTAGTTGTCCCTCTAGAATATTCTACAGAAAACCGGGACACGCTAGAAAATTCTATAATTTTATTGAATTTTATCTTAATTTACTAATTAAAAAAAGGGTTAAAAATGACAGAATTATAATATTATTAGTGTTACATATAAAAGTATGCATAATTCAACAATACTATAACAATAGGTACAAATACCTAGATAAAAACTTAGTTGCATAATGTGTAACTGCAAAAAGACTTAACGAGTCTTAAGAAAAAAAAACTTTTTATTAATACGATGTAAGAGGAGTGGTGTGGAGCAAAATCAGGACCTGACAGAGGAAAACCGAGTAAAGATTCATCCTCAAAGCAACCAAATTTAATAGAGAAAAAAATTAAAATTTGTTCCCCTGTTATTATTATTATTATTGGAGGTAACATTCTTATCAGTTCATTATGTATTAATTCCGTAACCCATCAAGTCGTTGGGGTACCATATTTACTGCATTCAAAGCATCATGGGGTTTACCTCGGCCAAGAAAGCCTGAGAGAACCCATCCACCTTTAGGCCGGCTTTTGAATTTAGCGTCGTCCTTCTTCTAGAACAGATACCAATCAAGGCTAAAGAACTCCGTCCACCCTACTATTAAATAGATAACCGGGTGAGACGAGGTGAATACATAACATTCCTAAGGATATTTGGGGCTTATGCCAAAATCAAGTTAAAACACCAGTTCTCGTACGATCACCGAAGTTGAAGCAACATCAAGCCTGGTCAGTACCTAGATGGGTGACTGCTAAGGAACACCAGGTGCTGTAACCTTGGATGTGAGGAAGATGTAATGGATAATGGCTCGGAATTGTTAATCGGAGAGCCGTGTTCCAATTCAGATCTGGTTCGTTATATTCACTTACATGCAAATACTCTTGGAAAAGTATAAAACACATCGACTACCCCCTGCTATGGATTAATTAGTAAGACTTATTTCAATAAATTATTATTATTATTATCTCCAAATAAAAATACTTACAATGTGATTGTTTGGTTGGGGCCAAGGAGCTTTAAATAACGTGCAAAACGTTGATGAGCGGTAAAAAATGAATCAATCAATTGCTTAGTGAATATAACGAACGCAGCCAGTGTTCGAACACGGATCGCCGATTCTTTTTTTCAAAGCAGTTGACCGTTAACCTACCCACATGTTCACTCTAAGTAACTTACGTTTTGACGAACCAATTGTAATAATGACTGTAATAGCCTAACTACTAATCATAAGTTTTAGTTAAGTGGAGTATACTAACATATGATATATATATATATAAATAAAGAGAGAGAGACTGGGATAGATAGATAGACAGAGTGAGATAGATAGATAAATATAGTGATTTTCTAAGCCCGGCTTAGATGTGGCACAAGGCCGAAAGTATGGGGCAACCAGTGAGGATCGAACTCACTACTCAGTCGTAATTGATCTAGCAAGACAAGCTTTCTAACCATTACACCACGTCGAGGTGCCCAGACAGACAGACAGATAGACAGATAGATAGATAGATAGATAGATAGATCAGACAGACAGACAGACAGACAGATAGATGAGATAGATAGATAGATGGGATAGATAGATAGATAGATAGATAGATATGAACAGACTGAGATAGATAGATCGCGAATATTTAGGTTATCCTGTTCCTCCTCGCAGAAGTTAAGTGCAAGACATGCAAGGCAGCAGGTGATTTGAATTCAAAGTTTTACTTCTCCTAGACTAGTTGCCTGTCCTGCTATTGACCCATTGATGGGGCGGCAAGAATGCCTGTCCTGCTATTCATCCATTGATGGGGCGGCAAGAATGCCTGACCTGCTATTCACCCATTGATGGGAAGCAAGAATGCCTGCCCTGCTATTCACCCATTGATGGGGCGGCAAGTATGCCTGTCCTGCTATTCACCCATTGATGGGGCGGCAAGAATGCCTGTCCTGTTATTCACCCATTGATGGGGCGGCAAGAATGCCTGTCCTGCTATTCACCCATTGATGGGCGGCAAGTATGCCTGACCTGCTATTCACCCATTGATGGGGCGGCAAGAATGCCTGTCCTGTTATTCACCCATTGATGGGGCAGCAAGAATGCCTGTCCTGCTTTTCACCCATTGATGGGACGGCAAGAATGTTCTGCTATTCACATCAGATTCAGAATGCGTGTTGCGATTCACCCATTGATGGGGCGGCAAGAATGCCTGTCCTGCTATTCACCCATGCGTATATTGATGATGGGGCGGCAAGAATGCCTCTCCTGCTATTCACCCATTGATGGGGCGGCAAGAATGCCTGTCCTGCTATTCACCCATTGATGGGGCGGAAAGAATGCCTGTCCTGCTATTCACCCATTGATAGGGTAGCAAGAATGCCTGTCCTGCTATTCACCATTTATGGGGCGGCAAGAATGCCTATCTTCCTATTCACCCATTGATGGGGCGGCAAGAATGCCTGTCCTGCTATTCACCCATTGATGGGACGGCAAGAAGGCCTGTCCTGCTATTCACCCATTGATGGGGCGGCAAGAATGCCTGTCCTGCTATTCACCCATTGATGGGGCGGCAAGAGTGCCTGTCCTGCTATTCATCCTTTTTCGGTTAGTACAAATCGAAAGATTTTCATGAAGGAGAGCTTTCTCTAAAGAAAACCAGTTTCAAGAATTCGTCGAAAATTTTCGTTATCTCGAAACCTGTGGAAATTTTTTAACTCAAAATGTGTCGAAGTGTTGCCTGATCAGTGACAACAGATAATAACTATAGGTTATATAGAAATAAAGAGTCGTTGCCGTCATTTGAGTTTGACATAGACCGCCACTGAGTAAACACAGGCGATCCTGTCATTGAATTAAGTAGACCACGTGACCATAGAGTAAATGCATATATAGGAGTTAGCGTGTATCTAAGTGATCGCCATTTCCAGTCTATCCTCTATTACTTCCGGATCGCTATTTCTAGTCTATCCTCTATTACTATACTGACCACTTTTCTCTAAACTATTAACTATACTTGTTACTATTTGGTGGTTACTATTCGAGCGAGTATTATCAAGCAAGTACTATTAGTGCGAGTGTTATTCGAAGGCGTCTGACACCAGTATTGTTCAACGGCGTTACTATAGTTGCATCTGCGATTACAAAGTCTCGAGCATTTTCGAAAGTGACAACGAGTATTCGTTGGCATCACAAGAGTGGCAATGAGTGTTCGGTGACATCACAAAAGTATAATTACACATGAAAATTGTATTTACTAGTTATTTAATTTTTATATGTAATATTGAAAATGTCCTTCTTCTTTCTCAAAACACATTTCAATTATGCGCCTCCATGTTTCATTAACACGTCGGAGAGTTTCCTCTGTCATTTTACTGCATTCATATTTAATTCTTTCTTTAAGTTCCTCGATATTTCTGATTTCAAATCGCATCATAGAAAAAAATCCAAGGACGTAATGTCTTGTGAACTCAGTGTCCACTCAGTAGGATCTCTTCGATGTATCCATTAACCGTTATTCTGGGCGACTTTTGCCTCACCCTGTATAGCTATATAAAATGGCTCCTTCTCGGTATGACGATAAACTAAATCTGACAACAAGGTCTCTAATCGGGAGGTTTTGAGGGGCGTGGGAGACTGGAACCACCCTCTTAAATGCAGTTATTCACAAGTTCACACTGACACAGGGTGGTAGCAACTGTTGGGGTTCCAGCTATGGGCAGATAGCTAAACCCCAAACTGGGGTCAGAAGTGTAGAAATACATTTTTATAGTAAGAAACATGCCAGCAATACATTTTCGTTTAAAACAAATTTAAATAGTAACAGCAATATATTTTTTATAAAAAATCGAGAGTAACAGCAATATATTTTTTATAAAAATTTATAGTGGCAGCAATATATTTTTATAAAAAAAACCGATAGTAACAGCAATATATTTTTTATAAAAAATCGATAATACCATCAATATATTTTTTATAAAAAATCGACAGTACCAGCAATATATTTTTTATAAAAATCGATAGTGCCGACAATATATCATACTTATTATAAAACCCAGGTTGTGTGTGTGTCTGTACGTTTATATATTGGATCGGATTTCCTACATTTTTCGACCGATTTCAACAAAACTTCACAGGACTACATAAAATTCTGACAGCGTCAAAAATTGGAAAAGCACAATTATTTTTGCACGAAATCAATTTGAAAACACGATTAAGAGGCATCGCTGTCGAGAACGAAAGGGGGACAACTCATATCGAGTTATACTTATTATAAAACCCAGGTTGTTTGTGTGTGTGTGTCTGTGTTCGTTTATATATGGGATCGGATTTCCTACATTTTTCAACCGATTTCAACAAAACTTCACTTTTTTTTTGGCAGGTAGTGTTTCTTATTGTCCTGCACATTTTTTTCTTTATTTTTACATTCAGAATGCTTTAAAAATTCCATTTATAAGACAATTGTTTATAATAAAATTCTATTCAATCGGTAGACTCATAACGATTGAAAACAATGTTTTTGTTTGAATTTGGGTTTGACCAATTCGTAAAAAAACAAAACAAAACAAAAAAAAACTAATTAAGACATTGCGTGTCCGTCAACCTTAAACAATAATCTTTGTCAATTTTATTTTTCAGTCTTTATGATGGTCGATACTTGATCTATCTCTTACTGTCACATCCTCGGGCAACGCCGGGCTCTACTGCTAGTTTTTTATAAAAAGTCGATAGTAACAGCAATATATTTTGGTAAAAGAAAAATTGCCAATAATACATTTTTGTAAAAGAAATTACAAGAAAATTTAATTTCGGTATTAAATGACCCATAAGGAATTGATATGCCAAACAAAGAAATAAATTAAATACTTTATTTTTTTGTGTGTGGCATTAAGTTAATGAACTAAAAGAGAAAAAGATTAGGACTCAACTAAACATATACAGAATTTTAGCTTGTTTTGCAATTCTAACATTTGAACTATTTATAGGGCTAGTTATATTCTTCTTGTTTGGAATATTACCAAGGGAAGATTTCTATCCAAGCGCTAGATTACGAAAGAAATGTTTATTTATAAGTCTTCTTGTCATTGACATGAGAAATATTTCAGTCTGGGCAAGATTAACTGAATTTGTAATTTTGACAAATTTCTGTGAAATTCTTTACGGCTACTAAAACATGGCAAAAATCAAAAATTGAATTTTCATTTTACCTGGTAAAAAACAAAGAAGCCTTTCATTATTTTACTTCCGGCGAGTTGAAGGTCGCAATTTGATTGAGAGAAACCAGTATTTCCTCTTGGAATACGATGCGGTACAAAGGCAGGTCGAAGAAAAACGCTACATCCGCAGGAAATTTTGAATCGGAAATTTGCCAGTCTCCAAAGAAATTCCTCATATCAAAAGAAAAAATGACTTTTCTCTCAAATATGAAAATACTGTATATATATATATATGTGTGTGTGTGTGTGTGTGTAGATAGATAGATAGATAGATAGATAGATAGATAGATAGATAGATAGATAGATAGATAGATAGATATGGACATATTCATAGATAGATAGATAGATAGATAGATAGATAGATATAGACATATTCATAGATAGATAGATAGATAGATAGATAGATATGGACATATTCATAGATAGATAGATAGATAGATAGATAGATAGATAGATAGATAGATATAACACATTGAGTGCTGGTGTTAAAAAATAGTACTCGATGTAATATAACAGAGATTTTAAGCATATATTAATAAATATACATATTCCTCACCCGTAACATATTCGGTGTTCCATACAGAACGCAATCTTCAGTTGCTCAGCACCTGAGGAATACGTTGGACATGAAACTCCAAGTTGTGCTACTGTCGAGGTAAATATATATATATATATATATATATATATATATATATATATATATATATATTATGAAATGGACAAAGTCCGACAATTATTTGAAGACATTTTTTATGTTTATACATTCTTTTTATAGATACAAATATTTAAGTAAATGCTCTGTTTATAATAAACAGTATTAACGACATTTACCGGCCTGAATGTCCGAGAAATTTTCACAGAATATATTTGTCCTCCGACAGGAATCGAACCTGTATTCTATAACGAACCGTCATATAGCCTGGCATGCGTTATTGATTTAGCCACAGAGGAGTGTTTCGGTTACAAAAGTTAGGAAGTTGTGGGGAGCCATGATCGCCAACGTCTTAAAGAGACATGGCACTGACGGCGTTTATTAACCACTGACGTCTTTTCTACTATTTGTCTTTCTTCAATGTTCAAGGTTGCCAATTCTTGTTCTCTCCCCTTCTCTTTCTTCTTCTTCATCATCTTCTTCTTCTTCTTCTTCTTCTTCTTCTTCTTCTTCTTCTTCTAATTCTTTGCTGCTGCTGCTGTCTCTCTTTCCACTTCTCTCTCTATCTCACTTTCCCATCTTTCTCTATCTCTCTTTCGCCTTTTCTCCCTGTCTCTTTCCCCCCTTGTCTCCTCTAATGTAATCTATATCTCTCTCCCCTCCTCTTGTTCGCTTTTTCTTTCATGCCCTGTGTCCACTCTTCTCCAAGTTGACATTAATTACATATTATCACTTAAATTCTTTCACCTTTTCCTGTACATTTTAATACCTGTTTCAATTTCATTCTTCTCCTGGAAGAATACACACACACACACACACACACACATACACACATACATATATATATATATATATATATATATATATATATATATATATATACATTTGGTTGGATAGATGCGAGTTTGTGACCCTGGGTTTCACATCTTTAGCGATCGTCAATACCATCATTTCATATAATATATAAATAATTTACATATATATATATATTTATTTATATTTTATTCTTTTACACACACACACACACACACACACACACACACACACACACACACATATATATATATATATATATATATATATATATATATATATATGCATAATAAGCAAACAAATCATTTTTCCCACATATACCTCAACCCCATATGAGATGAAAGGATGCCTTTTTATTAATTCTTATTGCTCTGCATAAATAAAATAAATCGAGGTGTTTTGGGGTTTTTTTTATCAGTTCTAATATTTTCATATTACAAGAATCCACTTGGAGTATATAACAGATTTTTTACCATACTATATATATATATATATATATATATGATAGAATATAGTTTTAAGGTACGCTATATTTATGGGTTAAAGTGCTCAATATCAATAGAATGTTTGTAAATATAAAAGTGGGTATCCAGGTCAACACTCAGCGGCAAGTGTCTGTTTCATGCTTAAAAGCCATCTTCAAAATTTATATATATATATATATATATATATATATATATATATATATATATATATATATATATTAAAAAAACAGACCATACGGATTACCAAGTTTCTTAACTTATATATATATATATATACAGAGAGAGAGTTTTTTCTTTCTTTTATTTCCCGCCTCCACTAACCGTATAGACAGGAACTTAGTCCACACCGATATTTTTGTCTACCGAAAATAGCCTATTTTTGTCTACCGAAATAGCCTATTCCCCATATGAGGTGATTTGGTATATTATTGTTTATTAATTATATTGCTTTGTATTAATATATTCATTGAACTCTTTTTGTGGGTCAGTTTTAATATTTTATATTACTAGGATCCTCTTGGATTATATATCAACGTATTTCTTACCTTTTACCATATATATATTATTGTTACCACCTTAAACGTTATATTTGGTGTATATCCATATTCAAGCAGAAAAAGTAATATGCGCCCTTCGTCAGGATTCGACCCTGAGCCTTCCTTGGCAGGGAAGACTGTCGTTAGATCCGACGTACTTTTACAGTCTCAGCCACATTGCCAGTTAAGCAAGGCTGAATAATGCATTTAAGTGAAATCATTCTCGTCATAGTTTCTCGAAATTTCGTATCTCTTCAGTTTCGTAACCAAACGTAAACAAAGCAATTACTAAAGAATCAATGGTTTTCTATTTATTAATCCGACAGATTTATATCATGTAAACGTTATTTTTAGTTGATACCCATATTTGAGTCGACGCTATGTTTTTTTGATTGTTTTTTTTTTATATTTTAAAAAGTATATTTATTATCGGCTAACGGCCTGGATATTCGAGAAAACATAAAGAAATAAATATGTGCCCTCCGACGGGATTCGAAACCGCGTCCTCCTTGGCATATATATCAGAACAATGTTAGACAAATGAACTCCGATTAAATCCTTCTCGAGGGCGGAACGCGTTACACATTTTTTTTCTTCTTCTTTGTCATTCATTTGCCTAATTTCATTCTTGCAGACGACAACGTGAAAAGAAAAACAAAGCCTCTTCTTTAAAACTATACCTCGCCTTTCGAGAGACTTTTGATATTGATTGTGATCTAAAGTTCGATAGTTCTGCTCGACGCAACATTAGGTGTCAAAAGATCACAACCTAGAAATCACGTTCAGACGATAATCTCAACGTTTGTGTCTCGTTTCCAACTGTCGAAATAACGTTTCGGCAAATCGGCTGGGGGGTCAAATTTTCAGTCAACTTGTCTTCACGAGTACTTTATTCACTCTAGCCAGAGACGGACGGAGAAATAATTACTCTCCATGAACAAAGTTGGAATCGAACAGATTTGATGAGAACTTTTCGGTTAATGATATCCAGTTATTGCTGTTTCTCGTCTCCATTTCGAGAGACAACGAGATCGTGTGGAGAAAACGTTATTAGAATTTCTCTGACATCGAGACAAGGAAATTTGTCAAGGACGATGAAAACGGTTTGCCCATTCCGCCTATCAGGCATGGTGGTTCGCAAACTGAGAACATCGTCGAAGACTTGACCCCGGGAGGTCACTTTATATCAAGTATGGAGCAGAACAAAAATGAATTTTTAAAAGCAAAGGTTTATTTATGGTTGTTATGACTTTATAAAATGTTCGAATTTAAAATAGGAGTTTTTAATAAGTCTGTATATATATGAATACATTTTTACATGGCTATCTTCTTTTATCTACCATTTCAGAACGTGAGAAATCATGACTCTCCACAACTTCCAGTCTTTTGTTACTCTAACTTTTGTCCATTTACCAGTTCCAAGAAAAACCTTTCCAAAACAGAAACTATTATAGAAACGCTCCGGCTTACGTCGTACACGATGTACAGCGTTTCATGGTTACGACACCATCTCCCATAATATAATACGTCTTCACGCAGCGCTGTATGAGGAAGAGGGCGTTGTTTCTTCACCGGCTGTACGCCATATTGGATTGTGCTATATTCTCTTGCTTGTGCCATTTTGTTTTTGTTTTGTTTTTTGGGGGGTTTTTTGTGAGACTTTTTGCCTTTCATTATGACTCTCAAGTGTAAGACAGACTCGCGGATGCTTTTGAATGTGAGTCACTTGTCAGCAAGTAGCGATATTTGGCGATGCACGGGGCAATGACATTTATTCAGTGGTGTCATCAGGGGCAGATCACTTTTGTCACGCAATCACGACAAAAATCTCTACCAATTCTAGATAGATAGATAGATAGATAGATAGATAGATAGATAGATAAAGAACACTGCGATAGATAGGTAGACAGATAAAAAACACTGAGCGAAATAGATAGATAGATAGATAGATAGATAGATAAAGAACACTGAGATAGATAGATAGATAGATAGATAGATAAAGAACACTGAGAAATATAGATAGATGAAGAAGCCTGTTGATTATAAGATAGATAGATAAAGAAGCCTGTAGATTATAATATATATATATATATATTTATAAAATAACGTTTAGACAAATAAATTACAAATATGTCGGGTATAATCCTTTTTTTATATATGTGGTGTGTGTGTGTGTGTGTGGTTACGGTATCATCTCCATAATACGTCTTCACGCGGCGCTGTATGAGGAAGACATCGTTGTTTCTTCACCGGCTGTGCGCCATATTGGATTGTGCTACATTCGCTATCGTTTGTGTCTTTTTTTCTTTGGGGGGGGTGAGGGGCTTTTTGCTCTTTATTAAGACTCCCAAGTGTAAGACGATCTCGTAGCTGCTTATGTAGGTGAGTTCCGACCTACGTCGAAAATCAGGTTACGTCGCGTCGTAGGAATGGATCTCCGACGTAAGTCGAGGACCCTCTGTGTCTGTAATTAGACTGAAATCAGTGATGACACCTCCCCTGAATTCATCATAAAAATTAGCGATGTGGAATAAGCAATTTCTAAACACGTTAGATATGTCGACGTATGGATCAGTTATAACAAATTAGCAAAATAAAAAAGAAGAAGAAATAGGCTGTTCCAAAGCTAGTTTCGCCCAATACCTCAAGATGCTGCAAAACGAAAACATCAACCTGAAAATTCGTGTCATGTTCTTAAATAGCCTTGACAGATCAAAACTTTCATATGGATGTTATGGCTGGTGGCAGACCTGTTCAGAAATATCTAAACTCTCAGCTGTATACGACCACAACCTAAGATCAATGGCGAAAAAAGGCTTTGAGCGAGTAAAGCCTGTGGGTCTTAGCAAGGATCATTTTGCGTTGAACATTATGGACTGGCAGTACAGAATCCCAAGCAAAGAACTGTGCCAAATAAAAGAAACCACATCACTTGATGACTACAACAAGTCAAATGGATAGCTGGGGTAACTGATATAATCAAGATGTTGACATTCCACACTACTTCAAACAAAAGATTAGAAAGGAAACTCCCATCAATACTGGAAAGAGCGATAACAACTACTGGGCTTGAGAAGAGAAAATAATGATGGAACTTTTCTTAGTATATGGGATATTCCTAGCAGGGTGATCTTCTGGGCAACCTGTATGTTGATGTTACCTGGGACACTGTTCGTAAAATTGTCCATTGCTTTTCTCACGAGGCCCAGTGCTCCGATTACTATTGGTACAGTCTCAGTCTTCATTCCCCACATCCTGTTAATCTCGATCTCCAGGTCCTGGTATTTGGACAATTTCTCGATAATTCATTATTATTATTATTATTATTTGTTTATGTTATGTTTCCTGCTTTGTATCCTTTAGAGCCGGGTCTAAACTATGATCTTTAGGCCCTATAGGAGAATTGTCATTTAACTGATAACACTTTTCTCAGTATATGGGATGTTCCTAGTAGGGCGATCTTCTGAGCAACTTGTATGTCGATGCTACCTGGGACACTGTGAGTAAAATTGTCCATTCTTTTTCTTACGATGCCCAGAGCTCCGATTACTATTGGTACAGTCTCAGTTTTCATTCCTCACATCCTGTTAATCTCGATCTCCAGGTCTTTGTATTTAGACAATTTCTCGATAATTTTCATGGAGGTGTTTCTCTCAGATGATACTGCTATATCAATAAGCATACACTTCCTGAATTTCTTGTCTTTTATGATAATATCAGGTCTGTTGGCTTTTATTTCCCTGTCAGTTTGAATTGGCATATCCCAGAGGATAGTTACATTGTTATTTGGTGTAACTGTGTCTGGTTGGTGCTCATACCATCTCTCAGTGGTTTCGATTTTGTGCTTCTTGTATATCCTCCAGTGCGCATATGTCGTTACCTTGTTATATCTGTGGGTATATTCATTTTTTGCCAATTCCGGAGATCCTGAGATAATATGGTCAACAGTTTAATCATATTTTCTGCAAATTCTGTATTCCGGGTTAGTTACATATTATTATTATTGATGTTAACATCCTTATTAATACACGATGCGATAGCCCCGTGACCCACAAGGATCGTTGGGGTAACGTATGTACTGCAGCCATAACACAATGGTGTGTACCTAGAGAGTCTGACGGGGCCCATTCATCTTTAGGTTTTGAATTCAGCGTTGTTCTCTTAGAATGGTTGCCAACCAAGGCTAGAGAACTCCGTCTACCCTACTATTAAATAAAAGATTAATGTGTTTGTCTCTTTACTATCTCTCCCATCTCCCTATTCTGCTATCAATTTATTGATTATTTTCCTGTCTTAATACTCTTCTTCAGAGTTTCCCAAACTTTTTCAAACACGGAACTCTTCTAGGTTCAGAAATTTGGACGGGGTGGGGGGATCCCCAGATACTAATTCTTTGATATGGTCGTAATATCAATATCTTCATATACTTTCATAAATATTACTAGCAGCCATACCCAGCTGGCGATCAGAAAAAGCGTTCAATTAAAATGGAGCAAAAACAGCATCATGTTTAGATGTAACAGAGTCTATCTTCTTCAATTACTTTAAAGTACATTTATTAAAAAACGTATTGAATTAATTCATTTACTGATATAACAGAAGTAGTCTGTATTTATTCAATCGAATTGATAAACATAAGGTATGCTAAAATCAACAAGTGCATCAATGCTAAAACGAAAATATACCTTTTACACATCACTCTAGTTGTTTTATATGGTTTAGATCGTATGACATGGACTTAAAATATAAGGTACGCTAAAATCAACAAGAGTACTAAACCACACTAAAAAGAAGTTATACTTTATATACATTCTCCTAGTTGTTTTAAACGGTTTAGATAGTGATATAAACTCAGAAAACTTAAATTGAAAGCTCAAATTGAAACATTCTCAAATCATCTGGTATGCATTACCGGAGATCAGAAGCTGGTAAACAAACTGAAAATATTTTGTTTCTTAACCAAATGTAACCAATTTACCTCCACTCTTTGATATCATCCGTACTAAATCCTTGAAAGTATATGGACATTATAGGACACTAACAGCCACATACCCAGCTGGTCGATCAGAAAAAGAGTTCAATTACAATGAATCAAAAAAGAGTATCATCTATCTTCTTCAATTACTTTAAAGTACTATCATTAAAAAAAAAAACATTTTAAATTAATGCAGTTACTGATATAACAAAAGTCGTCTGTATTTATTCAATCGAAGTTAGCCGAAGACATGAAGGAGTAAGATAGGCAACATGAAAACCCACTTTAGACTACAATTATTTTCGAGTTTTTGAAATTCAATTTGTAAGTGCAGGGATGTAAAATAGGATACATTTATAAAGCAATTGTTAAATTTGATGAAAATCGCTTTAAAGGTCAACGAAAAATAAGAAACCAGTAAAAATCGCCATTTTTCGCTATTTACGCGGGTTTTCACTATATGGGTGGACTCAATTATCAAGTTAAATAACTGTTAAACAACTTATTGTTAGCTACAATTTAGTGAACTTTGTATTAGATTGCTTGAAAATTCGAAGGAGTTTTTTGTTTAAAATTTGTGTTGAAATCGATTGGTATTGAAATCGATTTTTCGATTTTCGCGGTTTTTCGCTAAACGCAATGGCATAGAAATAAAAATGAGGTATCGTTGAGCTCATTATGATGTGAGTAACCTACATACCGACTTTGAACGAAATCAGAGGAAAAAGTTGAATTTATCGATTTCTGATCGGCTTTATCGATTTTTTTTTAAATTATCGATTTTTTACACTAAGAGCCTATCTCTTACATTGTACAATGTATGTGCCAAATTTGGTCAAAATCCGTTGGATGGATCACGAGTGTAAAGGTATCACACAGACAGACACACAGACATCAACTGTTTTATATATATACAAGTACGTTCAAAAAGCAATTGAAAAATAATATATAGTGATATATTTTTTTAAATAAAAATGTGATTTTTTTTTTAATTTTCATACTTCCCACAAGTAACACATGGAACAGAATTACGAACAATGTTAACATGAAATTTATTTCATACGTACTCAAAACATTTTGGAACATTCAATGAGAACAATGTTTTTGTTTCATATTTTTAATGTTTGACTTTATACGTGAGAATTTGATTCACGAGACAGCAGCAGGATTAAGTCTGCTTCGGTATTTAGATTTTATGTCAGTGTAATACAAGAAACCACTTTCGCATAAATAGGTTGTTGCGTTTTTAACCAGAATGTATACACATGAAAGCTAGGCCAACGAGAGTCAATTAACAGCCAGAACTTTTTCCAATATGGCGAGAAAATTAACTTTCAGATTTATGTGGTGTCATAGTACACAGATGATATCACAATCAATAACTACTTTTCAATTCAGCAGGAGAATGATGCAATTATCATTCACTGATATACGATATAGAAAAATATTACAAGATATATCACAATATTAGAGAACAATTTAAATCTGCTTTTAAAAATATTTGCCAACTTTGATAATCTGTTATGTTAAACATTTATTACTCTGAACTTTTGTCACAGAACACCAGACACTCTTTTACAGAAACCCCGGGTTCCTTGGAAACCATTTTGGGAAGCTCTGCTTTACTTAGTTTCTGGGAGACCACTTTCGCTAATCCATTTTCCCTTCAGAAGTCTGTCATATCTTCTGTTATCTGATAGCTGAATATAGTTATAATTTCTGTACCTACTTAAGTTTTGACGTCCCCTTATTTGTAACACACGCACTAGATTATGTTATATATATATATATATATATATATATATATATATATATATATATATATACATATTTTGTTCATTACGCCCCAAGCAAGACGTGAAGCCACTAGGATGCATGGGGTTGCGGAAGATTTGGAGCGAGAGCAGATAGGAGTGATAGGAGAAAGGAAGAGGAGAAGGATAGTGGGTAGATCAAGGTAACTGGAGGTGTCGATTGACATTACATTTGAATAGTTGGAGATTATAGCTTTCAGGGAAACAATATATATATATATATAATTTGTAGGGCTGATGAATTGGATCGTGATTACAATTCCAATGTAATAAATTATAAACATGGAATATTAGTGTTTTTAGCCTTTTATATTATATCTTACTCTGTCCTGAACATTGAGTTCTACCTGGATTCTATTCCTTATATATATATATATATATATATATATATATATATATATATATATATATGTGTGTGTGTGTGTGTGTGTGTGTGTATTGACCACT